GGATTACCATGCATGTATGAGCACCCACTGTATGCCTGGTGCTATGTACCCTTTGGCTAACTTTCCAGACACTCCCAGGAGATCCAGACTACTTGGAGGATACCAAGTCCATGACCATGCTGAGGTCACACCGTTAGCCCAGACCAAGCTGCAGCTTCCATCTGCGTGTCCTCAGACTCTATGGTGTACACTCCTGAGTGTGCCACTCAGCCTCCAACCCACAGGGACCCCCCTCCGCCAGTCCAGTCACACTTACTGTTCAGGTCCCATCAGCTTCTTCCGAGTTTCTCCCCCAGCCAAAGGCATTTGCCCCAACCTTCAGCTGGTACAAGCCAGGACCAAGGATGGGAGCTATCATTTCCATACAGCTGTCCCTGGGATCTGGGCCTGTGGAGCCCCCCCCATTTTCATTGAAAAGGCTGAATTGTCTTGGCGTTTTGGGGACTGCCTGGGCGGGGCCTGGTGCGGCTATTATCCTACATTATCTCACTCCCCTGCCCCTGAAAAGAGCCTGGGACTGCCCCTCCCTCCCCTGCTGCAGCCTTTTACACTTAATTACCTCACTCCTCACCAGCAGCCTGCAGAGGGCCCACAACTGGGGCGTGAGTAATCCCGCCCCACACACCCAGCCGGTCTGCAAGCAGGGAATCACCCTGTGGCCTGGAAAGAAAGGAACAGGCTGTGTAGGCCTCCCGGTCCAAGCACTCTGGGGCTGCTGCCGAGAGGGCCAGGCGCTGACCCCAGAGTCCATGGTGGCCTTTGCCAGTCCAGTCCTGGTGCTATGTTCTCCATTTTTCTGGCCCCAGACTGTGACTTCTAACTTCCCAGGCTGTAGAAGACACAGCTTACTCCCTTGCTTCCAAAACGGGCAGGCCGGACTCCATTCCCGCAGCTGCCCACACCGCACTGTGTGAACATGGCTTCCAGGGGGGATGTCATCCCCTCATCCTGCACCAAATGCCTAGGGGTCCTTTGTTCTTTTTCCTCCTGGCTCCAATCTTCTTCAGTGTGCTGGAGAGGTCACTGGGCCCAGGGAACCCTTTCTTATTCCCCACCTGGTGGACACAGTCCCTGTCTCAAAAGAAAGGAAGGGAGGAAGACAGGAAGGAGAGGGGAAGGGAGGAACACAGGGCGAGAGGGAGGGAAGAAGAGAGGAAGTGAGAGAGGGAGAGAGAAGGAGGAAGGGACCCTGAACGCATCTTCATTTGCTAGTGTTAGGCCCGGGTCCTAGCACTGGGAAGCTGTTGCAGGACACTAGAAAATGTGAGGAGCCCACAGTGAAGGAATGACCTGCTGGGAAGGTCTGTGCTGGCAAAGCAGATGCTCAAATCAGCCTCCCCCAAACCATTCTACCCCATGCTGCAGGCTCCTGGAGTTCAGCTTTTGCTTCAGGAACCTGCATGACCTGGAGCCTCTTAGGTCAAAACTGCTTCTTAGATCCCAGGGGTCCAGGTTAGGGAGTCCTCCATCACTGAGTCAGTAATGTCACTGCCATATCACCACGGGTCACCAATATCACCCCCATAAGTTGGTGCAGCTGGGGCCAAGAAACAGCTGCCCAGACTCTTCATCAGTGGGGGCTCTGCCATCTCTCAGGGCAGGGACACAGGCTGGCTGTAGTTCAGTCTCCCCATCTCCCGCTCCCTCCCAGAACCACAATAAGGAACTTAAAAAGTAGTAGGAGGCAGGAAGGATACATTTGGTAGTCAGAAAAGCCTGTGGGGCCTTTCTCAGAATGATGGCTTTAAATTAATAAAGTACATCGTGTTACAAAGGAAACCAATTATATAGGAACAGTTATCAAAATATTAAAAACAAATGTGCATTGGAGGATTATATGTGCTTCTTTATTTCATTTTGTAACATGGGATTTAGCAAATAACCATTGTTGTTCTCAAGTTGTGATGAGCATAGAAATCAGACAGGGGAGATAGCTCCGTCAGCAAAGCACTTGCCTTGCAAGCACAAGGATCTGAGTTCAATCCCCAGAAACCACATTTAAAAAAGAAAATCTAAGCTGGGCAGTGGTGGCTCACACCTTTAATCCCAGCACTCGGGAGACAGAGGCAGGCGGATCCCTGTGAGTTCAACGCCAGCCTGGTCTACAAGAGGAAGTTCCAGGACAGGCACCAAAAACTAAGGAGAAACCCTGTCTCTAAAAATAAAAAAAAAAAAAAAAAAGAAAGAAAGAAGAAAAGAAAATCTAGGTATGATTCAGTGTGCTTGTAATTCCAGGGCTGGCGAGGCAGAATCAGGCACATCTCTGAGGATTGCTAGACAACCAACCTAGCCTATTTAACAAGCCCTAAACCAGTGAGAGATCCTGCCCAAAATGAAAAATAAAGTGGTTGGTGACTAATGCATAACTCCCTAGGCTGTACACACACACACATGCACACCACACACACACACATTATACACATATCACACACATTCATGCCACACACATCACACACACCACACACATACTACACCATGCATGCATACACACACCACGCACTTGCACACACACACACCATACACGCATACACTACATACATACCACACACGTATGCCACACACACATACCACACACGCACACAAACATACCACACACACACAAACATACCACACACACACACACACACCATGCATGCACACAACTCATATACACCACTCACGCACACACTACACACACACCACACACATGCATGCCACACACATACCATACATACACACACATGCCACACACATATAACACACACACATGCATGCCACATACACATATCACACACACGCGCGCGCACACACACACACAGACAGACACCTAGAACTTTTATCACAGGACAGGAACACATGCCTGGTTTCTATCAGTGACAAAGTCCCAGAGCCTGCTGCTGTCCCTGTGCCTAAGCCTGATCATAAGGACAGAAGTAGGGATGGTGAGTTTCAGATGGACATCAGTTTAGTTGAAGATGGAGTACTTGTCAGGCTTGGTGGTGCACACCTGTATTCTAGTACACAGGAGCAGGAGGAAAGCTGGAAATTCCAGACTAGCAATCCTGACACTGTTTTATTTAAAAAAAAAAAAAAGTGGGTTGGTGGTGGCTCATGCCTTTAATTCCACCACTCGGGAGGTAGAGGCAGGTGAATCTCTGTGAGTTCAAGAACAAACTGGTCTACAGAGTGAGTTCTGGGACTAGCTCCATAGCTACTAAGAAACCCCATCTCGAAAAACCAAAAAAAAATAATAAGTAAATAAATAAATAAACAAGTCTTAGAAAAGAATGTATTTGGGAGTCCTATCTATAGAGCAAAGACACCATTTTCTTTCTCCTTAAGCCTTCCCATCTGTCTCTGGAGTTTGGCACTCAGTTCTAGGTCCTACCTTTTGAGAACATCAGCCAACTGGAAGAGGGCTTAGGGAAGTAACCAGGATGGACAAACTCATACTCTCCTGATTGGATCACACTGTGAGCATGCACTGGGCCTGTCCTCTAAGATATGGTGTGAGGCACAGGAGATCTGCAAACACAGAGGGGCTGTCTGGATTGGAAGCAGAGAGTCTGAACAGGAGGAATTGGTTACCACAGGGTCAAAAGCATGGATGAAAAAGCGCCTTGGGCCCGAAAGCACAGGAGTGCAACTCTAAGAGTGGGTTTGGGAGTCACAATGGCTGGAGCATCTCTCGCCTCCTACCTGTGCTTGGGTAAAGGAACAGAGCAGTTCCTGTCTGGGGGCAGATGGGGTCTGGCTAGCTGGTTTGTTGGCAGCGGCAGAACAGATCTGAACCCAGACCACCCACGCCTTTAGCTCCTGTGTGCCCATCCCTCTGTCGCTGGTGTAAAGGGGAGGCTGGAGGGTGAACCACACGGGCCATGTGAGGGATCCTTGGGAGTTATCTACCCCACCAAGTTTGGGGTCAAGTACAGGGGGATATTGGTAGTCTCCAGAAGCTGCCGGAGTCCAGCTGGTGTGTGAACAAAGTGGAGGGCAGGAGGCAGAGCCAGAGGTGCTGAGCAGGGTTGATTCCTCTGTGCCAGGAATCCTGGGAGCTCAGAAATGCCGACTCCGCAGCCCTGACAGCCGCCTTCACATCTGCCAGGGATGGTTCTGAGCTCTAGCGGGGAAATGAGGCAAGAGCCAGCCCTGACCTGGCAGGGAGCCCAGATAATCCAGAGAAGGCACTCTACTGCCCTGTGCCTCAGTTTCTGCGACTGTCGAATGGGGATGAGAGGAGATGGTGCCAAGATCTGTGAGGATGCTCAAGTAATAATCTGATTTACGGAAGGCTGACTCTTCTTTAAGCCCGGCAAAACAAGGGCTACCATGGATCTGATTCCCACTGTGCAAAAGCTAGCAGCTCAGTCAGCTACCACTGGAAGAGGCGGTACTGGGGTTAAAATTTGACTTGCAATGCCCCAGGCCCATTCTTTGAGCCTCTGAACCAGCTCACTTGCTTTCATGTTAAACTCATATTTAAGCCCCACACACTCATCCCAACTGATGCAGAGTAGAGGCCTGTTCCAAGTCCCTTGGCCTCCAGGGCCTGATGACAGCCTCCTACTAGCCAGTCCCTTCCAAAAGATCTCAGCAAGGTGCTGAGATGTGAGCACTTCAGGAACAGAAGAAGGAAAGGCACTTGGCCGCCGCCGGGTTGTCTCTGATTCAGAGATCTCCCAAAGTTCAGGGAAAGTGAAGCAAGCAAAGCAGGACCTGGTCTTGGCCTGAGGTGAGGGGGCGTGGTCACAGGAGGGGAGTCCTCAAAGTACAACCTGGTCTTGGCCCGAGGTGAGGGGGC